GTGTAGGTTGGCAAATGCAATGTATTTTCCTAGAGYTGAAATGCTAAACTTCCTAGCCTCTTCTGCAGCTAGGAGTGCCCATGTGACTATCCCAACCAATGACACACAAAAAGCATTCTGTCAGGATTTGCTCTTCAGCCTCTTCCTTCTTCTTCCTGAGGAATCCTGGATCCATAGTGAAGATTTCCTTGGTCACCAGCTAAGGATGGATRAGTAAAAGACAAGGGTTTGGGAGCTGATGGCACTGTGTAACCAGATCCCACCTTGAATAACCACCTTCTGATTCCTTATATCGCTTGAGATAAGTAAGCACTTGTGTGGTTAAATCCCTGCGGCAGCCTCAGCCTTCTGTTAAAAGCAGCAAAAACAAGCCTAACAACATGGCTTGACACAACCCTGACAAAGATCTCTGCCCACCAACATTAGTCCCTTAGTTTCCTTCCAGTTGAAAAGGCATGTGTTTGGAAAAATGATTACAATAACAGTGTTATTATATAGTATGRTACGAATTTCACTAGGAGAAAAAAAAAATTGCTGGGAGACTCAGAAATATCCAGCTCAGAAAGTTCTACTAAGCACATTTGTGAAAAGAGGGAAATGTGTGTTTTCATTTTAACAAGGCCACTTTGAGAAACTACTTCAAAATGTCCTGCTGGATTTCCCGTGGGCCAAGGAAGCGGCAGGGTCAGGCCAAGGGGAACATGACAGGGACCCTATGGCCAACCTACGTAGCTGGCAATGAGTGACTGAGGGGTGCATTAGTGGCTGTTCTGATAGACTTTACATTTGGCCCTTGGGTGAGGATTCTGAGGAGACATAACTGGTGGAGTCYATGATAGCCATCACATGACTAGGCAGCACAGTGCTGGAGAATGGTGAGTCAGCCATCTTTTTACTGCACCTAAARGAATATTTTTTTCAGATTATATCAGCACAGATGTGGTTTCTAACATTCCTTGCTCATTTCCAAGGAAACTCATGCACTTCCTGAGCAATGTATTTTAGGCCAAAATAGACTTGATTCAATAATTCCTGCAAACCCTGGACCATGTGGACTTAAAAGGGACATTCTTTGGCCACACAGGAAAAAAATTAATCCTAACCCAGGAGATGTAGTATTCTCAAAATGAAAACACCCCATCACACTGTCCTCTCCAAATACACACTTGCATGCACATGCACACACACACACACACACACACACACACACACACACAGCACATCTATGTGAAAATTAAAAATGACTCTTCACACTTAATAATATCCAACGAATATGTCACTGAAATATATTGGTAGAGATTTTTTGATACAGCTGCATTCAAAAACTCCAGCTTAGTCTCCTATACTCATGCAAATACATTGCAATGTTCCAACCCAAATGGGACCTAGACAGGGAACCCTTGGCAAAGATGAGTGGATGGAAATGAATACTGCTATTAGGTGGGCAGCACTGCACTGGCCCCAAAATGAAAAACTTGTTCCTCAAAGGCTCACAAGGTGGTACTGGGATCAGCAGAGAAAGACTTTCAAAAAAAAGTAGTACATACAAAAATTTAATAATGAAGCTATAGGAAGCTGCAGAGGGTCCAAACAAGAAGCAATTAACTACTGGTAATAATAGCACTTCAGTGTGACACCTCAAAGTACCCTGGGGCCTCCTGAGGATATACAGCCCTGAGCAGGACCTGTTTACATTCCTCCATGTACAGAGCACCTTTCTTCTTCTATTGCATCTTGGCAATAACAACAACGACAATAATGATGGGTGAAAGTATGCTACAGAATAACAACAATAACAATGGCTGACATGTGTTGAACACTTAATTGGAAAGCCTAAGGCACTGGTGCATGATCTCAGTTGTAGAATGAAGGACCTGGAATTATTTTGCTGAAACTTAGGAAAGGGGGGTATGCTTTGTTCACACCCACAACACTACACCTCACCCATTCACCTGATTTCTGTGGAATCTGCACACTCTCTTTTCTTCCCACAGGGAATATGAATGAAATATATCAATCGGCTGGAAACTTGGTTTGCTTTGAACAAACTTAAAAGCATTCCACTAACAAATAATAATGAATGAGGGCACAGAGAAATACTTCATCATTTTTGTGATGCACTTGCTTTTCCAGAATTTCTAAAAATTTATCATTTCAAGATCTCAGCAGAAAAATACACATGTAACTTTAAAAAATCTATGCATTGAATTGGTTTAGCCTCTTGTAATGACTGTGCACATGCAGAATGATGTAATGACTCCTGGTTCCTAAGGATAAAAAGCATTTTCCTTTATTATTCAGGAATGGTTCTTTTGTCTTGCAACAGGCAAAGAGAGACACAGAATTCATTTGCACACACTTTGAAAAGGAAATGTTTCCTACCATGCTACTGCTGCTGCTGCAACTGACAGATAAGATGGGAGGCTACTTTCTATGTCTTTAATCTTTTCTTTTCTTCAAGCCTATTTTCTAGTATAAAGTTAAAAGTCAGTTGATAGAACTGAAAGCCCTCATTTATAGAGAGCCTCTTTTGAAATTCTTTTTAACATTTTTCTCCTTGTTAAAGAAGATCGTTTTCTTATCTCTGCTTCATTCCATGGCCGGTTGCTATCCGTTTTTGTAGATGGAAGATACTGCGGATTGGCATGCTCAGATTCTATGGCACCTTCCTTCCAGCTTCCTRCTGAAGCTTGGGAGTCAAAAATGGCCTCTTTAGGACTCTATGCATCTAGTATTTTGGATGTAAATTAATCTTTACCTAATAGATGCGCTTGAAGGAGATTTGGAAGGAGGAGAAGTGAAGCCCTCTGTTTTCCTTAGAGGCAGTTGTGGCCATAATGGCAATGGCAGGTTGGAGCATCCTAATTCCTAGACCACAGTTAATGCAGCAAATTTTGTCTTTTTTTAAGGGAAGGAGGTCACCGGGGATTGAACTCAGGGGCACTTGACCACTGAGCCATACCCCCAGCCCTATTTTGTATTTTATTTAGAGACAGGGTCTCACTGAGTTGCTTAGTGTCTCAAAGTTGCTGAGGCTAACTTTGAACTCACAATCTTCCTGCCTCAGCCTCCCAAGCTGCTGGGAATACAGGAGCAAATTTTTGAACTCAATTATTCTAGGAGCCACTTCTTGACTCCTACTTTTCCATTTTCTTTTTTTTTTTTCACTTCTCTCTCTCTCTCTCTCTCTCTCTCTCTCTCTCTCTCTCTCTCTCTCTCTTTCTTTTTTTACTTCTTCATTCTTCAGCTCATTTTTTTGAGTATGCTCATCCCGCTCATGGAACATCTTTCTGTCAAAAATACCTAGGGAGATTTCCAAACCTTGCCTAAACCCTGACAAAAAATAAGCCTACTCTTCAGTCCTCAGGCTCAGGATNTAGGAGCCACTTCTTGACTCCTACTTTTCCATTTTTTTTTTTTTTTTTTTTTCTTCTCTCTCTCTCTCTCTCTCTCTCTCTCTCTCTCTCTCTCTCTCTCTCTCTCTTTTTTTACTTCTTCATTCTTCCAGTGATTTTTTTGAGTAGGCTCATCCCTCATGTGAAACATCTTTCTGTCAAAAATACCTAGGGAGATTTCCAAACCTTGCCTAAACCCTGACAAAAAATAAGCCTACTCTTCAGTCCTCAGGCTCAGGATGTACCTTATGAACCAGCACAGCCTCAATACCAACATTTATATAATGCTTTGTAGTTTACAAAAGTACATTGACAAGCATTATCTGAACTGGTCCCCACCACCACTCTGTGAATAGATGGAATAGGTGCTGCTCTGTCTATCTTAGAGATGAAGAGAGCTGACTCTCAGAAGAGTTAGGTGATTTATCCAAGGTATTTAATTAGTAAGTGGTGCAGGCAAGGTTCAATTCCACATTTTATGACTCTTAGTCATTTCCTTTGACATTAGGAAGTCTCCCAAGAGCAAGTGGATAATGGGGAGAGAGAAAGTACACAAATACTAGCAATTAATTAAACCTTCTAATTCCTGGTTTTAAAAAGGTATCACTACACACACTCTAAAACCATTCCATTAGACTAACACACCTAAGGATGAGCTAGGAAGTTTGGGCTTTTTTATAGACTGTGACTGTTTTGTAGGAATTGTGACAAGTAGAACCTGTGCCTGAATTGACAGGATTCCTCCTTCCATGACTCGTTGGCTATTTATTTATAAAGAGCCATGAAAGGTCAGTCCCATTTTCCAACCCTGACTGTTAATCCTTTTGGTGGGATCTGACCAAACCAAGAGTGACTAGAGGACTAGGGAAGGCCAAGATTGGATTCCCAATTTCTCCCTAGTGGCAATTTTCACCCTGATATCCTCTCTCCCTGAAACTACGGTTTCCTAGAATGCAGATTTACTACCCACGGCTCCCCCCACCTACTTGCTGCCTAGACATATTCTGGTAAAGCATTTTATTTCAATGCTCAGGAAACCAAGAAGAAAAACATTAAGTAAGCAAAGCTTGATTTAAACCACTTCAAAAGTGGTCAAATTGAATTCTTTCTCTCTACACCCACCACTCTTCCACTTCATAGCAGTAATCTAACCACAGGGTTAATGTTTGAGAGTTCTGAGGAGCAAACATCTCACCATATGGTCCCCATTCTCTGAAAGCAACATCAGTCCTAAGAAAACATTCCAGTATCACAAATCCTCACGACCATTCCAAGGCCAACCTCAGAACACTAGAATTCCACAATTCCCTGACCAATCTCTGCTTACTGCCTTTGGTTTCGTCTGACTCAAATCTCAAGAGCTAGKAACACCGCAACTCTGCTGCTCTATGCTATCTTCCTTCCATCCTTGCGTCAAAACAGGAGGCCTTGACATAYACACACGAAAACAACAAACAGAAGGGAAAGCATTTAAAATTAAAATGAGGACAGAGAAGATGAAAAGAATATCCATTGGGTTAGGCAAAATTTCCTATGATATCAAGAATTATGAGAAACTGTCAAAAGGAAGGAAAAGAAAAAAAAAAAGCCCAACTCTATACTAACCTGGGGAAAGAGAGAATACGTTGAGTTGTCAATGGTGAATGAGTATAAAAATTCCCCATCGTACCACATGCTCTTCCCCATGGGGGAATTCATTTTAGTCATAGCAAAGAGATGGGCGGGGTCACAGCAGTCTTCCATTTGTTTCCTAGGAGAGAAAAACAGAGAGAAAAAAGAACAGCAGGTTAAGTGAGCAGCAGATTCATTCACTTGTCATTCCCACAGAGACGTGCAGCCTCGCCTCAGTGCCAACTCACAGAGGCATCAGCGTCTCCACGGTGATTAGACTACTATTAATTCACTCTGCCAGCCATTGAAAGGCATGACTGGAATATTTCACCATTAAAAAAAAAWWWTTTTWAAAGTTGAAGAAAAAAACATCCACTCTCAGGTGCAGCTGAAATATGCCTCAAGGCATAAATAATCATACAGATGTATTGATTGATTCCAACAGCCAGGTCCAGAAGACTTGGGGAGCTAACTTTGTTGAACGTTGAGCTATTCAGCTACAGCAGGAGCTCGCCTGTATCTTGCTTTAATGGTCTGGTGGTCAAATTCAGTGAGGGGKTTTTTCAGGACTTGCTCAGGCCACATGGGCAGAAGAGCTGCCTGCTCAGAACCTCTCCCTGTCTCCACCCTGAAGGAATGCTCTGTAAGGAATCAACGGCCACATACCTGCCATGCACCAGGTGCCTTCACAGATATTTTTCACTTAATTTTCATGGTAACCCTGGACCTGGACCATGTGAATGTTGTTTTTTTCAATAATTTATCTTGGGTCATATAACCAGTAAAGAGGTAGGACATAGCTTCATTCCCAGATCTTTTTACTTCAACCAGGCTATAGCTCTCATCTCCAGACCAAGCTAAACTTGCCATTTAGCACAAAGTGCTACAGGAGATTCAGAAGAAAATTTCTGTCACAGACATATAATAACCTCTAACTTTGTCTAGTACCTGACAGCTTACAAGTCACTTGTACGTTTGTTTATTTGTTTCTTCTTTGCATCCTCAAAAAAAAAAAAAAAAAAACAACTAAGAATACAGGGATAAGAGACTGGCTCAAGTTCATTAGGTTAATAAATCTTTTCTTAGTTATTGATCAAATGTGTACTAGATGATGTGGTCTCAAGTTCACATTTCTTCTTCCATTATCACCATGCTCAGGGCAATCATTCCTTGAGTGGGTAAAACTAAATACTCAATAAAAAATGGAAAATATCACATGTATAAACATATTTTTTAATCCAAAAGTTACAGCAAATTCATAATACAGGTTTTTCTATTATAAATTTCCCAATTCTTTCTCACCCAGAATGCCTCCCCATCTCTGTTATGCTCATCTCTGGAGGGTAGCCGATATGGAGCACAATGTGAAAATCTGCATGCTTGTTCCTCATGCCTGAAAGGTGCCCAATCTAGCTCAGCAGCCTCACTGGCAGTAGCAGCTGCATCAAAATCCACATTAGTGCTAGTACTACCAGCAGCCATCACAGTCATAGTATAAGAAGGAAGAATGACTTTTAGTTTTGCCTAATACTGTGCCGGGTTCTGGGGATATAAAAAAAAAAAAATCAGACTTGCCTTCAGAGAACATGATTAAGAAGCGGGCAACCAAGGTTAGGCTACAAAAGCAAAAATAAACAAATGGGACTACATCAAACCCAAAAGCTTCTGCACAGGAAAGGAAATAATCAACAACATTAAAAGCAATCTACAGAATGAGGAAAATATTTATAAAGCACATATCTAACACAGGATTAAAATTTCAAATTGAATATTATTCAGCCATGAAGAAGAATGGAATTATGTCATTTGCTGGTAAATGAATGGAACTGGTGGCTATTATGCTAAGTGAAAAAAGCCAATCCCAAAAACCCAAAGGTTGAATGTTCCCACTGATGTGCAGATGCTAATATACAATAAGGRATGGGAGGAAAGAATAAAAGTTTATTGGATTAAACAAAGGGAATGAAGGGAAAGGAGGGGAAATGGGAGTAGAAAAGATTATAGAATGAAATGGCATAACTTTCCTATGTTCGTATGTGAATACACAACAAGTGTAACTCCACATCAAAATACACTCTACTGTCATGCATAACTAAAAAGAACAAATTAAAAATTACCAAAAAAATTTATAAAGAACTCTTAAAATTGAGGAAAATCCATAATTCAATTTAAAAATGGGCAAAGGTCTGAATAGATATTTCTCCAAAGAAGGCATAAAATGGCTAATAAATCTCATGAAGGTGCTTAATATGATTTAGCATCAGGAAAATACAAAATAAAACCACTGAGCTATTTCAAGGATAGTTATCACCAAAAAGCAAGAGATAGCATATGTTAGAGAAAGTATAGAGAAAAGGGAACTCTTATACACTGTCAGGGGAAATGTGGACCACTATAGCCATTAAGGAAACCAGTATGGAGGTTTCTTAAGTAATTAAAAATAGACCTACAAACGACACAGCAACCMCTCTTCTGGGTATACACTCAAAGGRGATGGAATCACCACCTCACCTAGATATCCTACATTTGCTGCAGCATTGTTCCCAATAGCTGAGATACAGAAACAACCCAAATATCTGTCAATAGATGRATGAATAAAGAAATTGGAATATAATTTAGCCTTTAAAAAAGAAAGAGAACTTGCAATGTGCCACATGGGTGGACCTTGAGGATTTTGTGTTAAATAAAATAAGCCAAACACAGACAAATGTTGCATGACCTCATGTATATGTGGAGTCTGGGTGGAAGGAATGAATCAGTGATTATTATGGGGAGATAATTAGAGATTTTCATGAGTTGGGGAGAAAGGGAAAAATTGGGGAAATGTAGCTCAAAGAATAAAAAATAGCAGATGTGGCCAGGTGCGGTGGCGCACACCTGTAATCCCAGCGGTTCAGGAAGCTGAGATAGGAGGATCTCGATTTCAAAGCCAGCCTCAGCAACAATGAAGCCCTAAGCAACTCAGTGAGACCCTGTCTCTAAATAAAATACAAAATAGGACTGGGGATGTGGTTCAGTGGCCGAGTGTCCCCAGATTCAATCCCTGGTACCTAACCACGCCCCCCCCACAAAAATAGCAGATGAACAAGTTTAGAGATCTAACATACAATATGAGGACTATAGTATCAAAATTATAATGTGTTAGGATTTTTCTTATGTAGATTTTAACTGCTCTTGTTACAAAAAAAAGTAACTACGGAATGACAGATAGACTAACTTGCTTCATTATGGTAACTGCTTTACGTTATCTATCCCATAATATCATGTGGTAAACCTCAAACATACGCAATAACATTTATTTATTAAAAAAGAGGAAAAGTGACCAACAGGCAAGATACGACTCATGTGTTCAAGAAGGCTCAGTGGAGATGAGGGCTTATTTGTGGTTGCTGGAAAGAGGATGTTAAGCCTCAGTTCCAGGAAGTTTCCTCTGAGATTTGCAGTCTGGGAGGAACTGGCAAGATGATGGAGGAGGCAAGTTATCTCAGACAGAAAAGCTGCTGCAGAGGCATGAGAAAATAAGATGCAATCCCAATAAAATCATCAGAGAAAGCATCAGAGAAATCATCTAAAGAATTGTTGAGGTGAATAATACACATCACCCACCACCCAACTGTTTGGAGGAAAAAATATACCAGCTTTGAGAAATTTGGGGGCAAATTTGGTTCCCACTCTCTTTCTCGTGTTTTGTGCTGATGGTACATAATACCTACTTCTATTTTGTGGCAGACAAAAACCACGGGGTCAAAAAAGCAAAAGGAATTTTATTCAAGTTTCAACTTTTAATTAATGATTGAGAAGTTGGAKAATGAATCAAGTAGGGGAATTAGAACCTAAGTGCCTTTTATTACATGAATTCCAGCTTCTTCAGTGGTCGAGTCTACTTAAGCTTTGTTGTACCAGGAGGATGAATACTTCTGAAGCCTGAGAGCCACTTGCCAAAATCCCACTAGGTCTCATTCCTCCTAATGGAAGCCATGCAGTTCAATTAAGCCATGAGGCCCTCATCTGCTTATTGGGCACATAGACCAGTAAGACCCAAGATTTTGGAGAAACTCAATAGATAAATAAGGGTAAGACTGCAACCCTTTGGTTTGTATTGCCTAGTATCAGAGTGGGCCTCGCTGAGACTCTTGCCGATGCCACATTCAGCATTTGGTCTCCAGACAGGAAGAAGGTTGGCAGGCTACAATTCCAATGACTGACATTTTTGGGCTTCTTCCAAGGAATGATTGAGTTTGAGATAGCAGGGGAGAATCAGAGTTCTACCTTGTTCTCAGTATTTGACCGGAATCTGCTGCTACACTTCAGTTTTATACTGTTTTTGGAAGGCTGAATCGTCAAGTAGACAAACATCCAAACCCATACCACTTATGGCATTCCCGAATGTGCATGCAACAGATGATCATGTGAGCACGTGCACTGCTGTCTCATCTAAACACGGTATGGATGTGAGCAGCCCAAACAGGGAGCRTCATTAGAATCTACTGTTTGTGATGGAATATGCAATTTAAAATCCCAATAAGCAGTCTAGAAGGAAACAGACTGAAAATTTCTTCATGTGTTTTACATATTGAAATTCTATCAGTCAAGTGATGTAGAAATGCATATGTAACACTGCAAGAAGAAAGTGCTATGGTAACTTTATTAGGAAAGCTGTTCATTTTATGTACAAAAAATTATTGACTATGTAGGACTATAGATATCTGGGGGGGRAAAGAAATACTAAGAGTGTATTTGGAAAGTAACCTCAAGAAAAATACTAAATCATCATTCTGCCACCAAATATCTACAAAATTGTAAATGGTAACATGAAAAACAGTTGAGATTACATGAAAACTTATATCTTTGTAGAATCATTTGATATACCAGCATTCAAATCGTTAAACTTTAAGAGCCATATTTAATTTTCAGTTAATTTAACTTTAATTAGAAAAGAGTTAGTGAGGGAGAAAGTCCTAGGTGGGAATTCTTCATATCTTTTTACGAAGACTTACAGTTAAATGTCACATTTGCTCCCCAAATGTCATTCAAGAAATAAAAACTTGAAAAGCAATATCCACCTTTTTAAAAATATTTTTTATATGTTGATGGAGCTTTATTTTTTATTTTATATATTTATATGTGGTGCTGAGAATT